GAAAGTTGAGAAATCATCAATAGAACATCAAAAGAGGAAAAGTTATACTGTACATTTAAAGACATCAAAAGCTCAGGAGAAATGGAATTTCCAATAACCCGGATTTTGGTTCTTTTCGCATTACTCGCCTTCCCGGCATGCGTCCACGGTGCAATTCGCAAGTACACATTCAACGTAAGTTCGCAATAATGTTATCACCATACATGAATCAATATATTATATGATCTCATTAAAGTTGTTTGATTCTCATTAACAAAAAAAAAAGGACTAAAACGTTATTATCTGAATCACAGGTGGTAACGAAACAAGTAACAAGGCTTTGTTCAACGAAACAGATCGTTACCGTTAACGGTAAATTTCCAGGACCCACAATCTACGCTAATGAAGACGACACAATTCTCGTTAACGTCGTTAACAACGTCAAGTATAACGTCTCTATCCATTGGTGAGAATGCCCTCATATTTTAAAATTATCAAACTTTCCTCCCTTAAGTTTCGAAAACTCACAAAATTGACCTCAAAATTGATTTTGTTGGTTTGTAGGCATGGGATAAGACAATTAAGAACCGGTTGGGCTGACGGACCGGCCTATATAACCCAATGTCCAATTAAACCGGGTCACAGCTACGTGTATAATTTCACGGTCACGGGGCAACGTGGCACGCTCTGGTGGCATGCGCATGTTCTCTGGCTCCGAGCTACAGTTCATGGTGCCATCGTGATTCTGCCTAAACCGGGTCTACCATACCCGTTCCCTAAACCACACAGAGAAGAAGTCATCATACTAGGTATTAATTACAATAAGATAATTACAACAACCTTTAAATTTAAAAATGTTGGTTAAACAATTTGAATTTTCCGGTTTATTTTTATATAGGTGAGTGGTGGAAATCAGATACCGAAACGGTTGTTAATGAAGCATTAAAATCCGGTTTAGCACCCAATGTCTCAGATGCTCACGTCATTAACGGTCATCCCGGTCTCGTTCCAAACTGTCCGTCGCAAGGTGAATTAATAATGCTAAATTCACTATAATTTTTTTATTTCTTTGTATTATTAAATTATTATGATCTGATATTATAATTTTCCCTTTTTATAAATAAAGGTAATTTTAAATTAGCAGTGGAGAGCGGGAAAACATACATGCTACGATTAATAAACGCAGCAATGAACGAAGAACTCTTCTTCAAGATCGCCGGCCACCGTTTCACCGTTGTGGAAGTCGACGCCGTCTATGTCAAACCCTTCAACACCGACACAATCTTAATCGCCCCCGGTCAAACCACCACCGCCTTAGTCTCCGCCGCACGTCCTTCCGGTCAATACCTAATCGCCGCCGCTCCTTTTCAAGACTCGGCCGTTGTCGCCGTCGATAATCGTACCGCCACCGCTACCGTTCATTACTCCGGCACGCTATCCGCCACACCCACCAAAACCACTTCACCACCGCCTCAAAACGCTACCTCTGTCGCAAATACATTCATTAATTCCCTCCGGAGTCTCAATTCAAAGACATATCCGGCTAAAGTTCCGATCACCGTTGATCACGATCTATTATTCACCGTTGGATTAGGAGTCAACCGATGTCACAGTTGTAAAGCCGGAAACTTCTCACGTGTCGTCGCTGCCATAAACAACATTACATTCAAAATGCCTAAAACGGCTCTGCTTCAAGCGCATTACTTCAACTTAACCGGAATATACACAACCGATTTTCCTGGAAAACCAAGACGGTTTTTCGATTTTACCGGAAAACCGCCTTCGAATTTAGCAACCATGAAGGCTACAAAGCTTTATAAGCTTCCATACAATTCGACGGTGCAAGTTGTTTTGCAAGATACCGGAAATGTGGCGCCGGAGAATCATCCGATTCATCTTCATGGATTTAATTTCTTTGTGGTTGGTTTAGGAACTGGAAACTATAATTCCAAGAAAGATTCGAAAAAGTTTAATCTTGTTGATCCGGTGGAGAGGAATACCGTCGGTGTACCTTCCGGTGGTTGGGCGGCGATCAGATTCCGAGCAGATAATCCAGGTATTCATCTAATTATCTAACAAAAAATGTGACTAATATAACTAGAACACTGTATATTAGTCTAATTGTTTCAATTTTAACAATGACAATTTGAAATAATATGTATATTTGTGGTTGCAGGGGTTTGGTTTATGCATTGCCATTTAGAGGTACACACAACATGGGGACTAAAAATGGCTTTCTTGGTGGAGAATGGTAAAGGCCCAAACCAATCAATTCTTCCTCCCCCAAGTGACCTTCCCAAATGTTGAAAACTCCATTATTATTTTTTGAATATCGATTAAATTCTTTTCTTGACATTTTTTAATTCGATATGTATGATTGTGTTACGCTTTAATGAAAGGTTAAACATTCTTTTTATACTCACCAACCTTTTTTATAGCTGAAAAATTGAGGACTTTTGATTGATCCATAGTTTGTCCTGAAATTTTTCTATCACTTGTTGTTTACACATGTGGTAGATTCAAAAAAAAAAAAAATGATTCTCCAAGTTCAATTTTTTTCGTAGGACTAATTTAAATACAAGACTGAACCAACTAAGTGATCGGTTAGTTGGTAAAACAAATATTATTTCAAACTTAGTTTCACCTAAAGTTTAAACGTGTCTACTCATGATAGGATAAACTAAATAAAAACAAAGTTTTTTTCTCCAAAAAGTCGTTATCGAAGCAGAATTCATCTGTCGTCGAATTTTGAATGAGTAGGTGCAATGTCACATTTCCAATATTAAAAGAAAACGAGAAAGAAAAAGACAAAATACTCCTAGCAAAAACGATAGAAATGAAAAAAACGAAGCAAGAGTAATAAATTCGACAGAAAAAGGAGTAATTTACTAATTATAGTAAGAGAATCTTGCTAAATATAGAATCCAAGAAGAAGTCACTCTCTGTGGAACAGAAACTTGTGTCTGCTACAAATCAGCAGATGACAACACTTACAGTTTACGTTTCATTATGCATGTGAGTGACACTATGACACCCTAATTTTTGTGTTGGATCTCCTTTTCTTGTCCCAACCTTATTTTATCACTCCATGATAACTATTTTTTTGTGTATTTCATATATTATCAAATTTCATTATTCATGGGTGATTTAACTAGTGTTTATACTTTATACTTTTTGTTCTTACATATGATTTCGAGGTCAAATTGAAAGCTCTTCTTTGTTGTAGAAGATTTTAATACGAAAATGTTAAGCCGTCTATCATGATTCCCTGAACCGTGTATTGCAAATAGTTAAATATTTATGTTAGGTATCCTCCATAGATATATTAATTATTTTCTTTGTCAACGGGTATGGTAGATATTTTTTGAAATGTTTTTAAAATAGTTCTGAAAGACAAAAATACATGAGTTTGTGAAAATGTTACGACGACAGTTGGCTATAATAATTGGTTGCGATGCTTTATACTTTTACCAAATTTAAATTATATAATTGGCTAGAAGTGGAGCTGTGGTACCGTCCACATGAGCCATGAGGTGGTGAGACATTAATATACAAACTTTTTTACGATATGAAAGCACCCGACACATACATTCTTCGTATTATCTTTATATGTTTGTATCAAATAAACAATACATGAGTTTTTTTTTTTTTAATCAAAAAAAATAAAAATATAAACAATACTAAATTGAAATTCTCATACACATTAGAAAAATATCTTTGGTTTACTTGCCACCCACAGCTCTGTTCCAAGTTTTTTTTGAATTTCTTTAAAGGTTGTGTTCACCACCTAACCCATTTATGCAACGGTTCTATAGTTTATGTTCATTACAAAATTAAGAAGTAATATAATATATTGGATAGTATACCTTTGAATCCCTTGTTTAATTCGCATTTTTTTATTCGGCAGAAGTAATCTAAAATTGGCAATGACAAAATAACTAGTAGTCCAGTTAGTTACTACTTATTTATCTTTTGTTGAACTGTCCACTCTGAAGCATTTCGGTACGTTTTTACCGAAACTGACCGGATCAGCTGATAGGATTTATCAAAAAAAAAAAAAAAAAAAAAAAACAAATACGTAGTATTTTTAAAAAAAAAACGTAGTATTTTTTTTTGATAAATACGTAATATTTTAAAGGTGGAATATTCCAACTTGTCTAATTTGTATATTTGTTTAGCTTATGCTTGTGTTATTATGTGAGTATGTGTACTAAAATTATATATTGAACGGCTATTTCGTGTTGACAAAAATAAGCTCTTTAGTTAAATATATTTATTTTTTGATTAAACAACGAATTAAAAACCGGCCAAACCATTGAACAGTCGTTTTCTGGTCTTTTTCATTTGATTGGTTACACCTTCTTTGTCATAAAATAGAAATTATGTTATACTTTCTTTCATATATCGACACGTGCATTTGGTTAGTCTTAATCCCATATTAATCTTATATGATTTATCATAATAGCATAAAACAAATATGCTAATTATCAAATAGATAAGCCATACTAAACGTATTTACCTGACCTAAGTTTTAAAAATTTAAAATATAGCATATAAGAAACATTTACCAAGGAGTTGTCATATTTCTATTGGCCGGCTTAGATTGCAACAGCTAAATTTTTTTTTTTTTAATGATTTGACATAGGCAAAATAAAATAAAATATCTCTGTAACTTTTCCCTCATTTTTTAAAAAACACTTTTTTCTACACCTTTTCTTGTTGAATGTATTATTCCTATTGATCATCACGTGAAATATAGAAAAAAATAATAAAAAGCAAAATTCACTTTCTTTCCTTTTCGTTTACGACCAAAGAGATCCACTTTATGCTCTCTGTTTATTTTCTCTATGTAATAATTTTCTCGAGAGATTGAAAATAAAGTCGTTTCTTTTTATTTTTCTTGGTCACTCGAGGCTCCAACACAGTCAATCAAAAAGCCATTGATTCTCTTCTTCACTCTCTTCTCCTCTCTTTTTTTTTCTTCTCTTCTAAATTTCAAAGAAAAACAAAAGTATTCACGAAAAAACAGAGGAGGAGCTATGTCGTCGTCGATGATGTACAGAGGAGTTGATATGTTTTCACCGGAGAACACAAACTGGATTTTTCAAGAAGTCAGAGAAGCCACGTGGACGACGGAGGAGAACAAACGGTTTGAGAAAGCTCTCGCTTATCTCGACGACAAAGACAATCTTGAGAGCTGGCGCAAGATCGCCGCTTTGATTCCCGGAAAAACAGTAGCTGACGTCATTAAACGATACAAGGAGCTAGAGGATGATGTCAGCGACATCGAAGCCGGACTTATCCCCATTCCTGGCTACGGCGGCGACGCCTCCTCCGCTGCAAACAGTGACTACTTCTTTGGTCTAAAAAACTCCAGCTACGGTTATGATTACGTCGTAGGAGGAAAGAGGAGTTCGCCGGCGATGAGTGATTGTTTTAGGCCTCCGATGCCGGAAAAGGAGAGGAAGAAAGGAGTTCCGTGGACTGAGGACGAACACCTGTAACAACCATTTTTGTTTCACTACTTCAAATTAATGTTACAAAAAATCGAATTTTATGTTTTATTTTTTAAAACTACCGTATAATTATGCTTATAATACTACAGATTTTAAGTTTCTAAACCTTACAATTTGTTTATTTTAGTAATAATTTTGGAACTAAATCTTTTTTATTTTTTTTGAGAAAAGTTTTGGAACTAGCTAAATCTTGTTTTGTGGTATTTTGAGGTATAAATCTATCTCTTTTATTAAGATATTTACTTGAAATTCTCTGTTTTTATATGAAGGTATTGAGTAGAATATTTTCTTAAATTGCCTAAGATTTATACTTTGTGTGACAATTTATCACTATTGTGAAATTAAATATGATATTAATTTACTTTTCTTTGTTTGACAGACGATTTCTAATGGGTTTGAAGAAATATGGAAAAGGAGATTGGAGAAACATAGCAAAAAGCTTTGTGAAGACTCGAACGCCGACGCAAGTCGCTTCACACGCTCAAAAATATTTTCTTCGACAACTCACAGATGGTAAAGACAAAAGACGATCAAGCATTCACGATATCACCACCGTTAACATCCCTGAGGCAGAAGCAACCACAACCGCTGCCGCAACACTCTCTCCTACACCAGCCAATTCTTTTGACGTTTTCCTTCAGCCAAATCCTCATCACAGTTTCGCGTCTGCGTCTGAGTCTTGCTATTATAATGCGTTTCCGCAGTGGAGTTAAATCACTTAGAAATTATAGAGTTTATCTCCTATAGATTTGTTACATATATATTTCTACGTACATATTACTGCAAAATTGTTGTAAATATTTGTAAGAAAAGGTTTGCGTGTCCATATATTTATTAGGACATAATGTCCCACATCGGAAGTTGGAAGGTATCCTAAGTAATATATAAGAGATATGGGTCACTCCACTCATTGCCAATTGGTTTTGAGTTGGAAGCCCATATTCTAATATGGTATCAGAGCCCGATCCACATATGTCCAACCCGATCCGACCCAAAGATGGTCCAATCATCGACAAGGCCCAAAATTGATGCCGTCGATCTAAGCCCGAACATTCCGAGATTAATGGCCAAAGAGTCATCATCTCGAGGAGGCGTATTAGGACATAATGTCCCACATCGGAAGTTGGAAGGGATCCTAAGTAATATATAAAAGATATGGGTCTCTCCACTCATTGCCAATTGGTTTTGAGTTGGAAGCCCATATTCTAATAATATTAGGTCTACTTGGTTGTAATTCAGTTTTACGAGTTTTATAATACCAATATATATATGGCTTTACATAATATACTCTTTAATAATCATGTAACTATAGTTATTACCGTTGACTTTAATGTCAATATAATGCTTGGTGTGAGACGTTTTTCTTCCCGACAACTTAGGATCAGTTCGAATCAGCATCCAACTCTGTTTTTTTATTGTTCAAATTAAAATAAATTGGCGAAGTATCTGACTATTATACTACTTTTTTTACTAAATATTCTTCCCTTGACTTAGCTGATCGTTCAACAGGATAACTATATTCCATTTACCTCCTATTATTATCCTGAACCTGACGGGTGTTGCGTCCCAAATGCCTCGAGCTTTTAATTTAGTATTTTTGTTTAACTAAAAAAAATGAAGAATAAAAGCTGGAAATACGCCAGCAAAACAAAGAGTAGGGGAAAAAAAAGAAAGTTGACTTCGTGGCCCACACACACACAAACAACAACGTCTGCTTTGTAAGCCCAAAGAAGAGATAGTAGTTAATGCCCATTCAACTGTGGCCCAATAAGAGCCCTTAAACCCCGTAAAAGTTTTAAAAAACTAGAATAACAATAATAATAAAAATTACAGTATTCTGACACTTACTAACTACTAAAGACCGGTGATTTGGAGTATTCTAAAATGTTAAATGCATAAATTTCAAACAGTTGTAAACTACAGTATTAGGATTACGACCTCTTAAAAACAGAAATTCAACATCTATTAAGAAAATATATAATATGAAGCCGCACCACATGTTTTTCATATTTTCAAATTGCAACCAATTCTCAGTGCTTGACTGGTTTAAACGCAGCGGTTGCGGTTGCGGTTGTGGGAGTTTACGGAAACGGGCGATTACGGTTTTAAGCGTTATTTAGCGTTTTGACCGACTGGTTTAGCGGTTGAAAACGGGTGCGTTTGCGGGAGATTTACGACTAGTTGATCAGCGGGTATGATAGCGGTTAAACCAAAATTTACCAAAATAAATTTAATATATTGATTAAAAAAAAGTATAAAACATCAAAAACTATAATTATGAAAAAGTATAAAAATTTTAAACATGATTAATGATTAAAAACCATAAATAATTATTCAAATAAATTTTATATTGAAAACAAAAATAATTATTAATATTGGAAAATTAAAGTTAGATAATTATTATTTTTAAAAAATTAACGTGAATGTAGATAAGACTTAATAATATATATTTTAATTTATTCATTTTCCTTTTTTTAGTTTCTTTTCTTTTTTAAACCAACCGCAACCGCCCGCAACCGCAAACGCTTGCGGGAAGGAGCTTTTGAAATCCAACGATTTCGAACGATTCGAAGCGGTATGAAGCGGTTTCTATGATTGGTACCAACCGCTAACAACCGCAACCAACCGCTAGCAATCGCTAAGAGGGTGTTAGCGGGAGAACCAATCAAGCCCTTAGTGAGTTATATACATCGCCGTACCTAAAACTTAAAACTAATAAAAGTTATGTAAGTGGATAAAAAAGCAACTAAGAAAGCAAAGTAAACTTTGTCTATTCAACACGAAGAAGATCCAGCAAAAGGTTGTAGCCGCCTTTATTGTGTAAATTGTTATGGGTGTCACCGTGCAGTGCACTAAGATCAATTGTATAATAGACATGCGCTTGTATGCATACGTTTGGTCCCTCTTCTATTGCGTTTATATCTAATCTTATAAATTATTAATCACAAAACCAAAAACCTTGTGTCAATTCACAATTTTGAAGGTCGAGGACCTAGCTTAACTACTTGTCCTCCAGATAAATCTTTGTATTAATCAAAAGGTTGGATACTAATTCCCAATCTTAAACTCAAAAGGGTAATTTTATATCCTCTTAAAAACGAAAACTAACAATAAATACATGGAACACAAGTTATAAGTAAGAATGAATACAGACATATACATCCTGTTTTTGTTATAAATAAATAAGTTAATGATATTTGAGATGATATGATACGAAAACGTTATTAAGTTCATTAGAAAAATCATGAAAACATGTATGGGTAGTGTTGTAAATTCAACATCCAACAAGTCTTGTCGGGGTAGGATATAAGAGAGAGCAACAAAGAAACAAACAATCAAAGACCACAATTTTTCTTTCTCAAACAAGGCATGTTCTTTGTACCAACTTGTGTTTTTAAAATTCAAGCTGGTTCTAAGGGTAGTTTCGTCATTACAATAGCAATCTCCATCAGGTATGACGTGGCTTCCGCATCAGATGATTCGTTTTTTTAGTTATAACCTCCGAAAATAATTTCGCTAAACACTTTAGTTATTATTGTGTACTTGATTGATTATGCTTTAAATAATTAGCATGTTGTGCGGTGGACGTAGATTAGACTCGGAATCACAAACCCCCGCAGACAATTATGTAATTAAATAAAAACATATATTCTCTCTATTTCACAAAAAAATATCATTTTACATTTTTCACACATATTAAAAAAACTATTAAAATTTCTATTATACCCCTTATTAATACATTAAATAAAATTATCTCTCAAATTAATATATTAAAGAAATTAGGTTAAAATTGTATTTTTACTCAAAATTTTGCATTGAAAATACAAAACGACACTCTTTGTAAAACAAAAATAAAACCTTAAAACGACACTCTTTGTGAAACGGAAGGAGTAGCAACTAGTATTTATTGAGAAAATATACATAAGTTCTGAATTTTCCGAAAATACATGGAAAAATAAAACAAAACAAAACTAGACAGAATTATATCGCTAATAGCTAGGATAAAATCGATATCTGATGTTTCAAATGGAAATTTAAATCTAATGGCTTTTACTATAAAATTTCATTGTACTGCTGTCTAAATTATTGATATTCTAACAACTTATAGATTAAAATGATAGAAAGTTAGATTTATAAAATTTTATACGATATCATAGTATACTAAGTGTTTAACGCATCTAAAGGTTTCAGATTAAAGAAGAGATGTGAAGTAATCAAAATTTACAAGGTTGACATTTACGTTATTATTCTAAATTTCTAGTCGTTAACTGATTAATTTGAGATATTGAGATTAATTAATCTATATAGACATATGTACCATGTACTTAATGAGTGGAAATTAGGGGTCACATGCATGCATTATGGGTCATGTAATGATTAGCATGACATTAAATAAATAAGTTGGTGTTAAACCGATAATGATTAATTAATGAAAAATTAAAGGTATATGTATTGCTCACTCCAAAATATCTGATTAGTGGGAAGTTAAAAAGTATTAATTCCTACCACTAAGTTGCACCCTTCCCAGTTGATAATTTTATCATCACAAAGATAAGATCTATTCACATTTATACATGAAATCTATTAATTCATAATCCCGAAAGTGTTTATATATTGTTGCAGTACATATCCGTATAAGATGTTCTTAAAATCTAAACTCCAAAATTCTTCTAGCTAGGCGACTTGTCAGTGGATGAGAACTGATGAACAAGGTCTGAAACAACATTTCACGTGAGCAAAGCTCTGGCACGAAGCAGTTCCATTTTGATAAACTTTTTTTTTTTTCATCTTCCATTTTGACAAACTAAAGGGATTCACATTGTCACGAAAAACCGATAAATATAGTACATATCACTTTTTTTCTTTTCTCATGAGAAGTAGTACTTCTCTGTTGTTGTTGGTTGGCTCTCATAAAAAGTACTATATTCTACGTTATTGGTATATATTTGACAAATATTATTTGTACTTGTTATAACTGCAATTTTGTAAAAATACAAGACACACAAGTTAATATCCAAGAAAAAAAATCCATGTAAATCGAATGAAAAAGTGAAGCCGAATCTATATGGTATTGTGGGAAATCTAAACCTTTTGTATATATATATATATATATATATATATATATATATATATATATATATTATATAGATTAGATATATATATATATATTATATAGATTAGGAAATGTGATTTAAAATTGTCCCTACCGTAATATGGAGAAAAATGGTCAAAGCACTCAGTTTTGGTAGATTTTTATAGATGCATTGAACATGCTTCTAATTAACAGAGTTGACTCTTTTTTCCACCATTCAACTTTTATATATTAATATATATCATATATATGCATTTTCTTCTTGAAAAAGGAATAAATAAATATGAATAGTGTACACTGAACAATCCGATAAAAATGTCAAAAAGAGAGCACATCATATATAGAAAATAAAATTACGTACGTCGATTATTTCAATAATCAATATATCGTCATATTTAAAAAAAACAAATTCATCATTATATCAACTATATGAAAATATCCTTTAAACAAAAAAAAAACTATATGAAAATTTTACCCCATTTTACGAACTAAAGACCAAATCAAACTTTTTTAGAATTTATATTGTTTATATATATCAAACTTTCTGTAGCGCCAAACCAAAACGCCTAAATTGTTCATTATAATATTTTTCAATTTCACCAACAATTTTTTTTTTCCAAACCAAAACGAATATGAATCAAATGAAGAAATAATGTGTTTTGTTTGCTAAAAACTCTCCAAACCAAAAAAAAAAAACGAATTAAATAGAACCCAAGCTTCAAATGTCCATTCCTCTTAACATGATCCATATTGAAGCCTACATTAAAG